CTTCCTTGCGTACGGATGACAGCTGCGTATGCACTTGATTTACTTTCTGCTGCTTCACTTCCGGAGACAGTTGTAAGCACTGTGTAACTGCCTCGAGGGTGCTCGACCAATTTAACACAACGCGGTGCGATCATCCCCCTTGCGCGGAGTGAGGCTTCTCCACCCCGCACAACATGATCTACTCGACCACCATTATGGTTACCGCCAAAAAAAAAACACAGGTAAAACACTTGGAGGGTGTGTGTGTATTTTTCAGGCATATATTGTACGTTGCCGTGTGCACGTACGTGAAGAGACACAATGCACGTGAGGGCTTGGAAGTAATCACTTCAGTTAACATTGCTTACGTGGAGAAGGTGACGACAGCAGTCTATCGATATCTAGTTGATACCACGCCGCACGATTACAATGAAATCCGCCGTCAGTGCTGCTACATGTAACAACAACGGTTGAACGTGGTGGTCGGTCATGGTTCATGAGTTGACTTTCTCCACAATCTCCTCCAACGAGCTGCGTGATTCATTGAGGTGACAGTCCCTACCGTAGACGCGCCCGGATGCAGGAGATTTAGTCGTACTTCACGGTGCTGTAACTCGGCTCGCCCTTGGAGTCTAGAGCTCGCGACAGGGGCGCTATGATCGTGAGAGTGGCACGCCCACGTCGGCGAAGACGGCCGAAAAACATGTTTTACCCCCATTTAAATACAACTACAACCGATTTATCGCACCGCAACGTCTAATAGTGGTTGCGTGCATTCACCGTGCTGTAACTCTACTCGCCTCTGGAGTTTTGAGCTCGCGACAGGAGCGCTGTGATCCAGAGACTGGCCCGCTGCAGCGGGCAACAGCCGGCGAAAAAAAGAGTCTCAAGGCGACCGCGAACTGATGCACCAAAAAATACGTCTTGCTTTTAGAGTGCAACAATGGTTGAACTCTTACGTCTCAGGCTTCCGACATGATGTTAGTGAAGTCTATGTATACCAATGGTTTCCCGCGCTTCTACATCTGTCGTCCTCCTCCGTAGGGGGCTTCATGAAAAAACGCAGCGATCGATCGATCGCGTGTTTGATGGCTCTCGCGCAAGAACCCAACACATGAGAGGTCTCGCCAACAGCAGTAGTGAAAGGGGTAGAAACAACAACAACAATGATGGGCAGACACAGCCCAACAAACACGACATACGAGAGCCACAATCATACACGTGGCGTTTTCGTTCCTGGGGCATCAGCGATACCTTAGTATGCATGCAGACTCAGAAATATGCCGCATTTACCTAGCAGATGTTTTTCAACACCCGCTGCTTTAAAAGACGTCAACACACCCCGTCGGTTGGAGGAGTTATTATCCCGAACGGGTACAGTCCTCCTTATGTGGTACTCGCGTTTTCTATTGAACATAACATGACCAAAGTTGCCCTCCCTCTCTTTTTGATTGCTTGTCATTACCATGGTTTTTTGCCAAAAACAACAACATACCATGACGTGCCGGTACGCCCCCTCCAAGTCGAACGCCCTCTGCGGGTGTCCATTGAGGATGACGTCATCAACACCGTCCTGCTTGAGCGACATCAGCATCTCCTCTCCCACGGCATTCAAAGGAAACATCACGGAATTGCCTTGTGGGAGGGAGGTGGCACGATGCAAGGAAAAGGGGAGCGAGGGGGGAGGGGTACTCGCAGGTGTGCATGCCGTGGTCGTTAGACCATATTGACCTCGCATCCCTGCAAAGCCGGGACGGAGCACGTCGGGTTCTCACCGGACCAGGTTCTCACATCACCAAGCGTGCCGTGAGGCATTCGGCGAGTGGCATTGAGGGTGCGCTGCGTCATTCTGCTAAATAGGGGAGTTGTCGCGCTGGTGAATTTATTGCTTTCAAGATGTGGCTAGAAACAGGGGGACGTCCACGACACATGAAAGTGTCGTGGACGTCCCCCTGTCAGTGCGTTTGAGGGGGGGCATGGAAACAAGCGCGTTCGTCGCTGAAAGGAAAAATTCCGAACGAACCTATTCAATAAAGGCGAACGAGCGGAGAAAAAAAACACCGCAAAACCATAGCCAAAACAAACGAAGCAATAAGGAGGGGCAAAACAAACAACAAAAAGCACAAGAACCAACGGACCAAAAAAAACGAGCCGCCATGTAGCAATCGATGCCCGCAAGATCGTGTGGAAGGCTGAGTGGGCAAGCACGTACATAAATATAGTCAGCACAGTAGCAGCACACACCTGGCAACGGGAGCACGACGTGCTTGATGGTGAACACCCCCGCCCGGGCGACCTCCGCCGAAACCCTCACCACCCCCCCCTGACCCTCCCCCCCTCTTCCGCCGCCTTGTTCGCGACCGTCCCTATCCCCCCCGCGGACCCCCCCCCTCCTCCCCGGAGCAGCTCCACTGCTGTCCCCGGTGGGCCTGCCACTATACAAGGAGGAGGCGTTTTCCTTGTTTTTGTTCTTGTTTACGTCGTCGGGACGAGTTTCCCAGGCCGTGAGCGGCATTTCTCCCTTCACGAGCACGAGGTCGCCTTCCACCGCCATGCGTCTGGTTCGGAACATTTATTACAACCGATCGATTTATTTTATTTGGCGGAGAGACTTACTGGTATTCATCTTATTTTCTTTCGTTGGCCAGCAACTACTGGTGCTGCTGTGCTTTGATTTGACACAGCAGTGTGTAGATGCACTTCGGTTACATCCTTCGATCACCTCCCCAACCACCGGTGTGTCTGTTCCATCGAGTGGTGTCCTAGCGACTGGCACCAAAAACACGATACGGGATCGCACGATTGGTTCGGATCGTGCTTTCTTGCCTGCTTTGCTGCTACTGCTCAAATCGCCCACGGACGTGCACACGTCTTGGAGTGACAAAAAAAAATCTTGTTGTAAAATACTACAAACAATGCCATGTTCCTACTTGACGCTTTCTTTGCAACAGAGGCGGCCTTACTTGAAACCGTGTCAACAACGTGACAACTACCGCCATTTACCACTCGCGCCGTCACCAACACCAACAACGGCCACGGCTACAACACAGCAGCAGCGGCAGCAGCAGCAACATCAACTTCACATATACAGCAGCAGCATCATCAGCAACGAACAACTTCAACGTACAGTATGCAGCAGCGGCAACAGCATCAAAAACAACACCAAATTTCTACATACACAGCAGGAGCGGCAGCATGGACATCATCATCATCAATAATAACAACAACGACGACGACAACAACAACACGCACGTGTCGAACTCGCCGCCCATCCTCCTGCTAGCCGCTCGGTTCCACAGCAGGCTTTGGTAGGCCTGGACGAACAGCAGCCGAACCTCCGGCGGAAGCTCGAGAAGAGCAGCAAGGGGGTCTGACTGTACGTCACGGAGCGCCCGGAGGATCTTCCTCTCCACGAACGCCGTCCTGGGAAGAAGGCTGTGCCCGTCCCCCCCCCCCCGGAAATAATAAAAAAAAAAGAAAAAAGAAAAATCGTCAAAAAATACGTGATTGGGAGGAGGTGCAACTTTTCGGAATAATTTTTTGTGATACTCCCCGTGCTTCTGGGTTTTGTCTGTGGAAGTGCAATGTTAGGCAGCAGAAGCAGAAGCAGATAGCAGCACCGAAAGTGGTGACGAGAAGGAGCGAAAAGGAAGGAATGGAAGGACCGACGCCTGCTCCCTTTCGCTCGAAGGCGCCCGAATAACTTTCGGTACACGCTTCTTCAAGCTACAGTTGGGGCCCCGGCTTCGCGACCCCTAGTGTCACGACGAAATGTGGCCGCTATTCAGGGCAGGTCGCTAAACCGAACTAACAGTTATATAGCAGCTATACTGCCGGGTTGCGGCGGTGCCACGTGGTTTTGTGGTTGCTAAACAGGATATGTCGTCAAAAACATGGGGTCGCTAAACCGAGAACCCAACTGTCCCGCAAAACGGCAGCGAGGCGACAAGCCCCCGAAACAAAAAAATGTGTGTCGTGTTAATCCCTGTCATGCTGAACGCCAGTTGTCCACCTGTTCGGCATCTTTGGACCTCGTCAGCTAGGGTAACACCGGAGTCTACCTAACCGCACCAGAGAAAAACAACAAGCCGGTTAATCGCTATGTGCATGCACGCAGACGGCCAATCAAACCTAACAAAAAAAAAAAAAAAAAAAA